TTAAATGACGAAAAATTAGGTGTTTATTTACTTGTGAACACTCAGTGTACAGCATACAAAAGAATTACCTACAACATAAAAGCAATGACCTAGGTACAATATACACAACAATGGTTTACAACATACACAACGATGGCCTATAACTTTATAAAAACAGCAACTTACAACATGGAGATCATTGAATTAGACATTTAAAAACAATGTAATTTATATGCCTCTAATGCATGTTTTTTGTTTTACTAAAATATTTATATATCCAACTATTAAACCATTTTAAATACATGATTATATTATCTATATTATATGGTTTAAAGAGTTGGAAAATGTGCTTAATTTTTTAATAGTTTACTCTACTTTCATCCCTCTTTTGTGAATAATTCCTTATAAAGATTCTGAAAATGTAAAAATCATCTAAATCTTGTGGTATTGTTTCTAATATATGTAGGTATTATCTAGTACCTTTGTTTTGAAACTGTTAAGTTTTGTTGAAAGCTCAGACTAATTCAGTATGACATACTACCCCCTTTGTCTTATACAGAGGTTGAGTACATTATATTATTTATTTGAAAAATGATCTTGGAGCCTCTCCACATCTTTACAGTCCATGTGATTACATCCAGTCATGTTCTGTCTGATGACTGTGCACCTTGACAATAACCCTGCAGTGTAATTTCTAATGTAAAAGGCTCCATTGCAAAACTGTTATGTCCAAAGCACACCACTCCTCTCTGCATATTTTCCATAATCAATTTGGCATACAAGGATCACAGTTTCCCAGTGCCCATTTCAACAGTCTGATTGTGCAGAAATCCATAGGTGCTGAGTCTGACAACTATGTCTGACCAATATGTATTCTTATTGAATTGTTACAAAATCAGTAATGTAGAATATAATGAATAATTGATAACTCTGACTTCAAATGCATAATACCATATTGAATGGCACTCTGTAAAAGGTCTTGGCATGCACATCCTGACCCAACTCATGAAAATAGGGTTAAAACGATTGTGAAAAAGCAAATCAGCAAGCCATGTGACAACAACAGTCAGTAAAAAGTCTCAGTGGAACAGATTGTATCAGTACTACATTTGGGCATTGTATGATATTTTGTATGTTGTGTTATGCCACCAAATATTGATGGCTTTTAGGGAGGATATGTAACAGTCCATTCTGGTGTAAATTATTCATATACTCATAACATAAAGATGTATTGAGTTCAAGGATTTAATTTTTCAAGACAGAGATATCCTTTGTATTTAATGGTATTGAAAAAAAAAGGAACATATTTCAATTTGAAGAACCAGGACCATCCAACTTTTTCATACCTCAAGCAGCTGGAGAATGAAACTTATACTCATGCTATTCCATACAAAGGCATAATGACTAAGTCATTGGACACTGCACCAATGGATTTCTGTGCGATTGGACTGTTCAAGTTGTTCTCATATACTTGATGGATTATATAAACCTAGCAGGTAGGTGTGGTGTGCTTTGGACACAATATTCTTATAATGCAGGGCTATTGTTAAGATGCATGACCATCAGAAATAGCACAGTCAGATGCCATGGCATGGACTATAATGACATGGTGAGGCTCCAAAATCATTTTGATTTTTCATATAATTTACTCAACTATTGACTATTTTTGTGCTGCATTAAGATCCTGAATCCTGAAAGAGTGTTAGCCACTATAATTAGTGCATATATTTATTTTTTTCTATTTTGATCCTGTAGGTTATAAACCTGTTTGTAGCTGTAATCATGGATAATTTTGATTACTTAACGCGTGATTGGTCCATTCTGGGTCCACATCACCTAGATGAGTTTGTACGACTTTGGTCAGAATATGATCCAGATGCAAGGTGAGTAGGTAATCTTTGATGACATATTTTCTGTTTTTAAAAAAGAACTTTTTCTACAGACGTTTTTACACCTAATTATCAAGGCTCGATTATTACATAATTTAGAAAATAGGAATAGAAAAAACTATATATAAAAGTAAAACAAAATAATTACCTTCAGTGTATAAGCACTACTGTTTTAGTGTTCTTCACCAATATTAAAACTATTGTTGTGAAACTTTACCATAGCCAAGAGTGTTACGTATTCCCCTTTTGCAATTTTTAAATAAATTCAGCATTTTTAAGTGCTTTACAAACAAATGTACATATTTGTTATAACAACCACTTTTTATTTGTTGTTCTTCTAATTGCATGTTTTTTTATTATGGGTAAAAAATGCAAACCTAACATATTGTCATTATTTGTAGGGGAAGAATAAAACACTTGGATCTTGTAACGTTGTTGAGAAAAATTTCACCACCTTTAGGGTTTGGTAAACTTTGTCCTCACAGAGTAGCTTGTAAGGTAAGTAATTCAGAAACATTTTGAAATAATGCATTGCATGGGTTTGTGATATATAAACCATCTTTTAGATATTTCTATACACCTTCATAAACCATCATAGAACATGTTGTAAAGTTTTTACTTAAGAAACTATGTAGTTATCAGGGAAAGTGTTTGGTGGAAGAACACAGTATGATATGGTTGCTTCACTCTTCTTGTAAGGTATTGATTGTATTTGGTATTGTGGTCTCGATGAAGAACCTATGTGATAATTAGTTTTTACTAATTGGTGGATTCGATAATAATTTCTTGGGGTCTGAAACAAAAGGTTTTTATATACCAGAAACTAGTGCTTGTACGTAGCAGTGGAATTCTTTAATTGGATCTTGTTTTTAAACCACTTTTGTTTATCTTGCGACATGTATATTTTTGTTTTTATTATTTGGTGATAAATAACTTGTTATCTTAAGTGTTTGTATTCTTTAATTTCATTTAGATTATTTCTATACTTTGGTACTTCCACTATTATTTAATAGTTTTTCAATCATTATTAGAGGCTCGTGTCGATGAACATGCCGCTAAACACCGATGGGTCTGTGATGTTTAATGCCACACTGTTTGCTCTGGTCAGGACTTCATTACGTATAAAAACGGAAGGTTAGAACTAGTTTTATGAATACATTATTGAAATTTAACAATCTATAACACAATGCACCAACTTAAAAGTTAACTAGTTACTCTGTGCTGAAATAATATTACATATGCTCAGTTATACTTTATACTAATTTAAAAATTAACCATTTCTTCTACATTCAGTTCAAAGATACAAAACCCTATAACTTAAGCAATTTCAAAAGTGGACCTTTCTTTTTCAGAGACAAACTAGGAATGCCCCAGTTTTCCCGTGAAAAATATAAGCTCACCTGTCAAAAATGCTTGGGTTATAGGGTTTTGTATCTTCGTGTTAAATTGACATTTTGTACCTATGTGTTTTCCAAACATCATGGATGTTTTTACACTGAATTTATATTAAATATTAGCTGTTCAGTTAAAAGTTTTCTTTCCTTACTGTATTGCCTAGGTAACATTGATGATGCCAATACAGAACTGCGTGCTATAATTAAGAAGATTTGGAAACGTACAAGCTCAAAGCTTCTAGATCAAATAGTTCCACCTTCTGGAGGTTTGGTTCTTTTTTATCATATTACACTTTTTAAGAAGTATGATTATGATTTATAGTCTTAGTGGTGATTTATCAAAACTAATTTTTTTTTTCTTTATCAAAAAATGTTCATTAAAATTTATTATTCTAGAAGTAACACTGAAATATATTTTTTTCCTTTCACTCAGTTGATGATGATGTAACAGTGGGCAAGTTTTATGCAACATTTCTGATTCAAGACTACTTTAGACGATTCAGGAAGAGGAAGGAAGAGAAAGCTGTAAATGATCCAATGAGTGCTGTGGCTTTAACTGTAAGGATCAAGAGCTTTCAAAACTGATTGAACAACCAATCAGCTAGACTTATTCAAAATCAAACAGTTCAATTAAACATGAATCAGATTAAGTACAAACCCTCCTGTATGGTTTTAGAGTTTGAATGTACAATTTGTCATTACATTCTGCATTATCAATTCTACAGGCCAAACATTAACTCAGTCTAAATTCAACAATATTAAGTCATATCAATACTATTATTTTCTCTAACCAATAGAACAAGTTTACATTATTCAGCCTATTTGTATAGGCTATTCTAAAGTATCTGTTTCTTCATTCATATATTTTTAAAATATAAATTAGATACAATATAACCTTTCTTAAGCAGCCAGTCAAGAGATGGGATCATTTTAACCTCTTAGAAGAGGAGGCTGCTGAGTAAACTAAATACAGTATAATATCCCTTAACCATAATGCAACTGGCATCCTTTACTGCACATGGCACAAGATTTTAGTGACTTACATTCAACATTTTATTAATCTACTTTTTGTTTATGTTATACCAATTAGTACAGCATAAAATTATAGCTAATAATCCATATTTTACTAGTATATAAGTTTTAAGTTCTTAATTTTATAAGGCAATATTTAAAATCTGAATTTCCCCTAGTGTGAAACATATGACACATTTTCTCTAGGAATCTTCTCTTTTCTATTTTATCCACCGTCCCTCCAATAAGTACGAAATTCAACACAAATTATTCAGTATAGAATTGTCATTGCTCAGACAAACCATAATGTTTATAGCCTTCAATTTTGTTTGGTTACAAAGCCATCAAACAGAAAATCAGACCACTCTTGTCACATCCTCTCTTTCAAAATTTGTTAATAGTTTTCTCTTACATTTAATTCTATATTGTCGATAACCAATAGAAAGCCAAGATTTTCAACTATCCAATGAAGTATTATATAACGTTGTTTTCTGAACGGAGAATTGTCACTTTCTCTGTTAGTACAAGCTTTGTTCCCACAGGAAAGATAACAACTTGCTTGGATGATTTTGTAACAGTTCTTGTTATTTAGTTAGAAAGCCAAAAATACTGTGATAGTTAGGGGAAATTGTCTAGTTTTGCATGTTATTAGTGTATGTTCTTTGGTGCATTATTTAATTAAATAAAAATAATTTAGTGCATTTATACCATTAGTATAAAAAAGTAGGGTTAAGTGTCATCAACAATCTACAGCAAGAAACAAGAAGATTCAGGCAACTACTTTATTTCTTGTTTTTCATGTTTATTCTTTATTTATTATTATGAAAGTAAATAAAATGTAAAAATAGGGATCTCTTTAGGTTAGTTAAGGTTAGATTAGGTAAAATAAATAATAATAATATAATAAAAATGTTTCACGGGGCTCGCACATGAGCAGCTCGTTGGTAACGTAATTCGATAGTGAAACGTGACCTTCACATTCCCCAAGTGATTTATAACTTATAATGGCATGAATTGTAGTTAGACATGGTTCAAAGGGCAATAAAACAATATAATTTAATTATAAATAAATGTTTACTGTTACAAACTTAGAGCTACTTAGGATAAACGAATGTAGTTTCATGTTACAACTTGAAGTCATTCTAGAAAGAAAAAAAGGGTAATTTAAATTTATTTCTATTTTTTGTTTTTGGTGGTTACAAGGTTGGTTAAATTGACCAACATTGTGTAGAGTTAGATTAGAGAAAATAACAGATAAAGTATAAACAAACATTTGAAATGTATTTAGGAGGTTTTAGAGATTACACAAATCAAATCTGAGATTTTTTAGATTAAGAAAAGTATTTTTAATATTAATATGAAAATCACTTTGCACAAAGACTAATAAATACTTGGTATATTCATGGACAAAGCTTTTTTTTAGTTTATTTAAAATATTTCACAAAAAAATATAAGTATAAAAACTGTTGGGATATGAGAAGTGACTGTTAGTGGAGGTGAATGCACAGTATCCTATTGTGTTTCAAGAAGATCCGTTTGTTATGCTGAAAATGTTTATAAATATATATTTTCATCTTGTTAGCATCCTGTATTGCCAGTTACCAGAAAGACACATATAAATTTTGTTTGTTTTCAGGATTCCATAATGAAATAATGATATGTCAATAATCCAGTTATATAATCCTACAATAAAACTATACAATAAAACTAGTTTTTCATGTTTATGGCGCCATTATGAGCCTGTATATATATATATATATGTGTGTGTGTGTGTTGTGTATGTATGTATTCATGTTGTTTTAATGTTAAGTTAACATAACTTTGTTATTAACACATCAGAATATTTGTCAGTTTTTTTTCTATAAAGATATCTTTTTTTATAGATAATGAATGATATAAGTATCAAAATAGATCATGGAGACTTCCTCCATCCAGCATTCTGTTTATTTTTCTTAGTAACACCCTAGTTTCAAACATATTCTGGTAATTAGAGTAGCAAATATTTTAATATCAAAACCTTTTTTTTATGCAAAAAATTATAAAATATTGTTTTGTATATACAGGCTGGACTTCGAAAACTTCATGACCTTGGGCCTGAGATCCAACGAGCAATTTCAGGGAGTTTAGATGTTGACGAATTTCTTGTTGGAGTGGATAAAGAACCCACACATAGAGTGAGCCTAACACTTACAAGTTTTATTTAACATATTAATACAATGGTTCTGTGTTCTTTTTTTACAACATACAGTTTCAATCGGAGGTATGACAGTGGACACTTAGTGCTTGGTGAAAATAAAAGTTTCCTCATCTGGAGTTTGTGGTCATGATTGATATAATGATTTCTAATCTCCAGTCTCCACTGCAACATTATTAATTCAAATAAAAAATATCATTTCATTTATACCATAAATATATTTAATTTAAAATGATTTAAAATCATCCACTTCTCACTCTTTTGAACTGAAGAGTGTATTTTGAACTACATTTCATGAAAATATGTTTGTTTGTTCTCATTTTACTTATATATGCTAAATCAAAAGCAGTGACTAAAAACAAAGTTTATGAATGTCAAAGTGAAACCCAAGGTTAAAAAAGAATAAAAACACCTGTATAATTATTTTTATCCAACTTTGGTTATTTCTTATGTTAATGAATAGGGATCTCTTTCTCTAGAGCTAACCATTCTAAGAAGGTGCCTATATTTATTTCAGAGGTATCATCCATTATTTGGAAGTATTTGGACCACTGAACGTGGAAGGTATCCCAAAGGAATTCAGTCACTCCATCTTGGCCATTGTCAACCTCAAGCTAGAATATCTCCCATTGACTCACCATTCTCCCATTATACTAGGACAAAATTCTACACTGTTAATCATATCAAATTACCACAAGACAGATATCTTAATTCTGTTTATGGACCAGATTTATCAAGGTTAGTTCATAAAAGTTTTGCCATATGTGTCATTTTTATGATGCTATACACAGCTAGATTTTATATTGTAAAGCACTGTACGTTAATCTTCTTAAATAAATCAATCTTTTAATTAGAAAAGCACCAAAACCACGTGGAGCAGACTTTTTCATGACACGTATAGCTAAGTTAGAGAAGCGCCAAAGTAGTATCTACTACACTGCTATGATGGGGGGAGGGGTTGGTTGACAACCACAATATTCTAAAAAGCCTAATTTAAAAATATATATACAGTTGATTTTCATGCAAATCAGTTAAATTCTTTGTATAGAAGAAAAGGTCCACATTTTTTTAAAAAAAGACCCTTTCCTCACTCTGTAGTACTGTATATGTCCTGTTAGAGAAGCACCAAAAATAGTATCCAGTATTCTACTTGTGGTATTCATGGATGGGACAGATTTCTCAACAAGTATCAGATAGAATATTACACAATAATGGCAGAGTTCACTAAAGAAATTTATGAGGATTGTATGATAAAGATAATTGGACTGAGTGTATTTTTTAGTGTATAAGTAACTAAACTAGTCATGTTTAGAACAAACAAACAGAATCTTTATTTAAAAAATAAAAAAAAGATTAGCATGTATACCAACAGTGGACGTGGGCCCATATCCTCAGTCTGTGCAGCGACTTCATACACTCAATGTAATGGAAGTCCTGGGCATCTTGGAGGGGTTAAGAAGTTTCAAAAGTTGATGAAGAATCCATTTGTTTACCATGGTATCAGAAACTAACAGTAGAATGCAGGAACACAGAATGCTGTTCAAGTTAGGATGAAGCTCAGAGTTGAAAACGAGAGACTGACTATGACTGGAGTTTGACTGTGAATATTGAAAATCTGAGTTCAAATGTAAAGGCTGAATAAGATCTAATTAGTCAGAGGTCCACCCAAGTGTGTAGTTTAAGAAAGGTCATAACACTCAGCAACATCCTTGAACATTACACTAGTCAAGTGACATGTCTACAGGCTTAATTTGTACTGACACCCATCTTCACTCATAGAATATGTCTGAGAAAATCAGTGGGTCTCTATTCTACCAGCTACCTATGGTAGTGTTGTCATTGCCGTCCCCACAGATCAACTGGAACCCACATGCTATAATATCTGACCCAGCCATTTCCCTAGCCTACAGGTTGAGAACTTTTGGATCCTATGTTATCAAGCTGAGTTGGATCTGGCACACCAACTTCATCTCTGACAATTAGCCTTTGCCAATGCTTTCATTGTCTTCTCTTAGGGACTTTCTACCAGTTACGAGTTGTGTAACATTTATGGTGTAAATTACAAGGTTGTACCACATGGATGATGACTTTTGCCTCACCCATTATACTTATAAGCAGCATTTCCAAACCTCAAAACTGTATTTTGCAAAAAAACAACATTAAGGAATTATTAGGTAAGAAGTTGTTGTTTATCAAAAATATCCAAATCCACTTAACCGAAGGTGTTCCAGTCAAAACCAAATGCAAAACTGGGTGAACCACATCTACATAGTTGTTATGATAGTTTAGCTATTTTTTATAAATATCATGTACTACTGACAGTCCCACAAAATTAGGGATATTTCAAATTTATCCAAGTAAAATATTCTTACACTGTGCTCCTGTGAAACACAAGCTAAAGCTGTGTCAGACTCATAAATTAAACTGTGTGTTCTCTCTCCTACCATAGCGTGAGTCTTTGTCTCCATTGACTTTTCCATAACAAATTCAAAAATCTGCTAAATGTCTCAAAGTTTAAATCGAAACATTGTCTCTCAGTGTTATTTTCCGACAATACATTCCAGGTTATTTTATCACATTTAATTATATTGTTGCTGTTTTGTGCATACCTTTTTTACTGCATTTAGTTTCATGTTATAAGATCCTTCTTTCCAGTTCTTTCTCAGTAGATGATGTAGAGCTGTACTACTATGGTGTAGTTTCTTCATTACCAAGTTCATCTGGGTCAACTTTACCTCTTCATCTAACCAATCCATCTGAGGGGTTAACAAAGTACAATGCCAGCTCAATGAGTGAAAATTTTGGAAGTGACATCTTTCAGCTCAGAGAACTATATCAACAGCATGCTCCCAGCACCTCTTTTATGAATAGCGGTTCCAGTTCTGAAAGTATTCTTCCACCAGCTAGCTTTCCTGACCAGGAAATAGTCAGTATCCACCAAAGTCCAGCCTTATCCTTGTTCCACAACAAATTCAGGTACTTCGTATCATCATGTTTTTCTGCATCATTATCTCTGTGTTTTTCCACAGAAAAATTACATAGCTCTACAGTTGAGGCATGGTTTATTTAAATGATGCACAATGTGTTTGAAATTTTCTTTCCATTGAGTCCAATTCTAAACAATATTATTAAAAACGCTGTATCAAAGATATACGTTGTGTTAGAAAAGATATTCATCAGATCCAAAACTTGAATTTCAAGTGTTCTTTTGATCCTCCAGTTTATTTAAAATTAAACTAATCTTTCTCTATCACCTGAAGATGTTGCTATATTTCTTGGATGTATTTAGAGCTAAATTAACCCATCTCAACTGAAGATGTTGCTATATTTCTTGGATGTATTTAGAGCTAAAATTATCAGTTTCACATGAAGATGTTGCTATATTTCTTGGATGTATTTAGAGCTAAACTAATCAGTTTCACATGAAGATGTTGCTATATTTCTTGGATGTATTTAGAGCTAAACTAATCAGTTTCACATGAAGATGTTACTATATTTCTTGGATGTATTTAGAGCTAAACTAATCTATCTCACCTGAAGATGTTACTATATTTCTTGGATGTATTTAGATCTAAACTAATCTATCTCACCTATCCAAGAAATATAGTAACATCTTCATGTGAAACTAGATTAGTTTAGCTCTAAATAGCATCCAAGAAATATAGTAACATCTTCATGTGAAACTGATTAGTTTAGCTCTAAATACATCCAAGAAATATAGTAACATCTTCAGGTGAGATAGATTAGTTTAGATCTAAATACATCCAAGAAATATAGTAACATCTTCAGGTGAGATAGATTAGTTTAGCTCTAAATGCATCCAAGAAATATAGTAACATCTTCCATCCAAGAAATATAGTAACATCTTCATGTGAAACTGATTAGTTTAGCTCTAAATGCTAGCCACATTATTTCAACAAATATATTTTTCACTAATGTACTGATATGTTTTTGTAATTTATCATAGATTCTTAGAACTAATATACTTTGATTCTAAGAAATATCTTATTGGGGCATTTAGTCTTTCTGTAGGAGATTCTGAAGACCAAGAAGGACCCCAGCCTCCCACTCCTCCACCTCGGAAATTTATAAGTAGGAATGTGAGAAGAAGTTTTCATTTTCCCTGGCTAAAGAAGCAGTACCGTCATGAGAATAATTCTGTTGTTGATAGATCTTCTTGTCAACAGCAGGAACCTGATAACCAGCACTCACTTAGTCACATTGCTGCTTCACTAAGGCTAGCTCAATTGCCAGCTATGGCTGTTGCCGGAATAACACCAGATACTGATCGTAAGTCAATACACAGAAGGAGCAGAGAATCTTCCAATATTATACCAGTTCATCAAGCTTCTTACCATGGTAAGTGCTGATCTCTATGCAGTGATGAAAGGAATAATTGCACAAAAATATGGATAAATGTCTTTTCAGTACACAGTTATGTCTTCCAGTTCTAACCATAAGTTGCAGCATCTTCAGCCACACCAGAAATTTATAGCTTGAAATTATTTTCCAAAATTACAATTGTTGTGCTATTTCAACTAAATTTGTAAATTGTTCTAAGTCACTACTGGTACATATTGTGTATAACTTGGAAAAATATTATATATTTGAACCAATTTGTATTTCATTATGGAAACTGTGTTATTTACAATTGTGTTATATGATTTTCAAACAGAGTACTGTATTTTTATTCTAGGTATGACAACATTGGGTCTTGTAAATATAACCTTGTTAAAATTATTTTCATGCTACTAAAACTACTGTTAGCAACAACTGGCAAGTGTCCCAACACCTTTTATTCTGCTAATTTAATGCATAAGTTAAACATAACTTTTTTATTGTTCCTGGAACACATTTGGTTCCTTTGATAGAAACTATGCATTAAAAATACTATATTTACTCTTATGTTCCACAAGGTTCCTTGTTTTATTTATATAATACATGCATTAATGTGCTTTTATTACTCTTGTATTGGACAAGGTTCTTTGTTTTATTTGTATAATACATGCAATAATGTGCTTTTATTACTCTTGTATTGGACAAGGTTCCTTGTTTTATTTGTATAATACATGCAGTAATGTGCTTTTATTACTCTTGTATTGGACAAGGTTCTTTGTTTTATTTGTATAATACATGCAATAATGTGCTTTTATTACTCTTGTATTGGACAAGGTTCTTTGTTTTATTTGTATAATACATGCATTAATGTGCTTTTATTACTCTTGTATTGGACAAGGTTTTGTTTTAGTTGTATAATACATGCATTGATGTGCTCTTATGACTTTTGTGTTGGACAAGGTTCTCTGTTTTAGTTGTATAATACATGCATTGATGTGCTCTTATGACTTTTGTGTTGGACTAAGGTTCTTTGTTTTAGTTGTATAATACATGCATTGATGTGCTTTTATTACTTTCCTGTTAGACAAGGTTCTATGTTTTAGTTGTATAATACATGCATTGATGTGCTTTTATTACTTTCCTGTTAGACAAGGTTCTATGTCTTAGTTGTATAATACATGCTTTTGTGTACTCTCATGTTGGACAAGGTTCATTTTTTTAGCCATATAAAACATCTATTGTTGTACTCCTTCATAAACAGTGGGCAGGTACCAGAGGATTGAAAGTTATCTAATATCTCTCCTCTTTTCAAGGAAGGTGATAAAAATTGCCCCAGTAATTATACGCCCATTTGTCTTACATCAGTTGTTAGAAAACTTTTGGAAAGTCTGTTAAAAGATGCTTTGCAAAGTCATTTATTGAAGTTTAGAATTTTATTGGATAGTCAACATGGTTTCACTAAGGGAAAATCATGCTGTACAAATCTTTTAACATTCTTTGAAAAGGTTACTGTTTATGTAGATGAGGGTAAGAGTGTAGATTTGATGTACATTTTTGTTTGTTTAGTTGGAATTAAGCACAAAGCTACACAATGGGCTATCTGTGTTCTGCCCACCACGGGTATCAAAACCCGGTTTCTAGCGTTGTAAGTCCACAGATATACCGCTGTGCCATTGGGGGGCATATGGCTACAGAGACTGATCAACAATTATACCAAGATCCCTTTCTTTCATAACATTGTTAAGGTTATTCCCATCCAAATTATACTTATTATTCCGATTATGATAACACACATGCATTATCTTGTATTTATTATAATTAAAACCCTTCTGCCATTTATTTAACCATTTATGTGGCACCTTGTCAAATGCTTTTTAAAAATCCCAAACTATAGCCATCCAAGCAGTGTGTTGTTGCTAGCTGTAGGAAAATAGGATTTTAGGTTGTATCTACAGAAATATTGAATACAAGTCTAAAGAGGTTATAATTTTATTGTATAGGTCACTGGTTAGGCTACATTTTGAGTATTCTATTTAGTCTTAGGCTTCTTACTTTAGGAAGGACATTGAATTGTTGGAAAAGGGTTCAAAGGAGGGTTACGAGAATGGTGCCTGGGATGGAGGGGTTGTCATACAAAGAGAGGTTGAAATCTCTTAAATAAAACACAGTCTAATGTTTCTACTTTTAGATTATGTTCTGTATGAGTGAATGAGAACATGTTCCCCAGTTTTATATTTGTCATAAATAATACATTTTTTCTTTGTCTTTTTGTTTCTTTACTAACAACGACATAATGTTTAACTTCTGGTTTATTTGGCATGTTTTGTTATGCAAGGAAGTTTGCTACATGTCAATACCATAACAAATAAATTGCTACAGATTCATTCGATGGGAATCGAAGTTTAATTATGAACAATAGTACAACGGCAACAACAACAACAAACAGTTGAACTTTTGATTAGAGAAAGTGTATCTATTATAAATGAACTCCCAACTTTAAATAATAACGCAGCTTTGTTACAATTGTTGCACTAACTTATTCTTTTAAAAAAAATTTATTTCATCCTTTTACTCTGTATTTTAATTTCTCTTTACAAGACATTCGAAATTTTTGTACCTAATATTTTACCTTGTTTAATATAATATAAATTGAATATGTAAGTTCCAAAACGTTCAAGAATTAAAGTTTGTTATCGTACACATGTGTCAAATGTTTGTTGTTGTTGCTGGAATAACTTGCTGTGTCATGGACACACATAAATTTGAAAGTACTAGAACAATGAAATGTTTATATATATCATGTACATGTAAATCTGTGTATTTTACATTTTGTTTGTTAGGTCATCGACGTTATGATTCCCCGGTGAGGAGAACTCAACAGTTATATAGTAGTGCAGAAAATCTTATTGGTCGAGTAGGTAGCTCTATAACTGTATGTTATGTTTGATATTTACTAAAATTATCGGAATGGTAATAATGTATTCTTAGTTTTCTGTGATATCTTATATTTTAATTGTTTTTAGTTTTATTATGGGATTTGCATTTTTGAAAACATTGTACTTTATTTCAGAATTTATGTCTAAAAATTCCAAGACCCTTATTCTGCTTATTGTAAAACTTGAAACAACACTAAAATGTATTTCAGTTAACTTTTTTTCAAACCTTACTTTTGCTTAAGCCATAAAAGAAAGTTCCGTAACACATTAAAAACATATAACAAAGAACATTTGCAGAGTTATAAAACTACAATCAAGGAAATCTTCTCTAAGACTCATGCAAAGTACTAGATTTAAGAATCAACATAAAGCATAAGACTTAAGAAACAGCATGACACTAAAGGAAGTTACTTTAAAACATCAGATTCAAAACAGACAGACTTACTTCTGAAATGTGAAAAACCTTTCCTTGCTGAGATGCTCTCATGTCGTCAATAAATGTGACTGAATTCAATAACGAAGAACCCACTTTGAGACTAATAATGGCTGGAGACGGCTTGAATGGATAATGAAGAAAACATTAATATAAGTTTAACATAACAACAAATGTACAACGTTTCAACAAGGTTTTGTCATCATTGGTACTTGATGATGACAAAACCTTGTTGAAACGTTGTACATTTGTTGTTATGTTAAACTTATATTA